TAGGTTGGGTTGGGTTAGGTTAGGTTGGGTTGGGTTAGGTTAGGTTGGGTTAGGTCGGTTTGGGTTATATTAGGTTAGGTTGGGTTGGGTTAGGTTAGGTTGGGTTGGGTTAGGTTAGGTTGGGTTAGGTCGGTTTGGGTTATATTAGGTTAGGTTGGGTTGGGTTAGGTTAGGTTGGGTTGGGTTAGGTTAGGTTGGGTTAGGTCGGTTTGGGTTATATTAGGTTAGGTTGGGTTGGGTTAGGTTAGGTTGGGTTAGGTTAGTTTAGATTAGGTTAGGTTGGGTTAGGTTAGGTTGGTTTGGGTTAGGTTGGGTTGGGTTAGGTTGGGTTAGGTTAGGTTGGGTTGGGTTAGGTTATGTTGGGTTTGGTCGGGTTAGGTTGGGTTAGGTCAGGTCAGGTTGGGTTAGGTTAGGTRAGGTTATATATTATGCATGCACGACTGTCTATTTTCTCCAAAGTGCCAGACATTTTGGAGACATTTTAAAAAGCTTTCTTGATTCTTCAGAACTGCATCTGACACCACTTGCATCATGTCACATGTTCACTCTCTATTTGATTGCTCATAACTCTGCACTGATGCAAGATGTGAAAATGGCATTAATAAAAAAAAATATACCCAAGACTTATATCTTTCATCTGGTAAACATTTCTTTTTTACATGATGTTTTGCTTCCAAGAAATATATAAAAGTGTAAAAAGTGTGACAAGCCCCGGTCTCCCCTACTTGTCAGTATTAGATTATTTTTCAATAAGCTTTTGCTACATGATTCTTCTTTAAAAAGCACCATGATTATAAAGTGCAGATTTACAGCACCTATAACTACCTTCTCTCCTTATGATAAGCCCTGCTTYTTTTTGGTTCAAGCTGTTTGAACTTATTTTGTTTTGATCTCACATTTTTCCTCATACTTTTAACAAATATTTTTACATCAACAGCATCTCTTCACCTGTTTATGACATGCAACAAGGAGTAATGACTCATGAATTTCTTGAACGCTAGTACTAAAGTTTGAAAACCTTCAAAATAATTTAAAAAGGCATATTTTGAGCTAATACTTCCTGAAAAGTACACTGACATGGGTAAACCATTATTATCAATAAATAAAAATAGGAGTTATGAATATTTTTAAATCCACCCAAGGGTATTTAAAACAAGATACTTTTCAGTGTTAATAGGAATATTTATTGAAATGTTGTAGTACACTTCAGCATACTAACATGACCACTTTATCTTTACTWACCAAAAACAGAATATGAAATATGACATTTGGCCTTCTAGGGCACTTTTGTAACTAGAATTGATAAACGGAGTGTCAAAACTTGATGCAGCAACAGCTTTTCCTTTTATTTTTTATTTGTTTTAACCACAGATTTACATTTCAAGCAAGTTTTGGCAGGCTAAAGACTCTTCTTTAATTATTTATATAGAGTTGAATGATTTCCAAAATTTGACTGCACTTAATCAGTACATGCAGGATTTAATCAGCCTGTTTGTGATGGCACGTTGCATGAGGATAGGTCATTTCAAATTCAAGAAAGTTTTCATGCAAACTTGCAATAATAATTAAACATCAACATTCAGTCAATATAAAAAAAATGAAAGAAACTGGACCAGTTGCAGAAGATGACACATTAACGGCCAGTTGTACAAAACAAGCAGCGTTTTAAGACAAGGCATTTTTTTCACATGCAAAATTTGCAACAATAAGGCACACTGTAAGAAATCAAAAACCACAATGGAATTATTAAAGCTCTTCCAGTGTATATAAAGAAAAAAAAATACTCCAGATACTGTATAAATGGTGCAGTTTGCAGATGGTATTCTTGTAAAAGAAAAAAAAAGTTATTCATCATACGTCATCATGCAGCTTTGCATCAAAAACGTTACTTTAAAAAGGACCTTAAGGCACACATTCTTAACACAATCATTAAAATGTTCAGACTCTTAAGTTCTCAATCTGATGCACAAAGACTTTCAAAACAAATCTCTTCTTTGACCCCATATTTATCATTTTAATGGCAACTAGACTGAAATGGAATGTCTTATTTTGAAGACAAGCTTTAGGAAACTTTGGTAAATAAACCTTTTAATCAATCTTACAGCTATCACCTTTGATAAAAAAAAAACTACTGCAATTTTTTAGTTAATGATCAAAAGTAAGACCGTTTTGAAGTGTTTCTTCCCTTGGAAATGTAGAAATAACTCGATTCTTCGTCTCCCCCTGGTGGCAGTTTTTGGTCATTACCAGTGGCTGTTGTCGGGGTAATTGGGCACAGCAGCAGGGTACTCAGGTAAACTTGGACCTTGTACAATCTGAGCAACAGCGTTGAACCCTGCTTCTCTTACTGGAGCACTCTTCCAGACTCCGGTGCTCCACTCCTGTTGAGCCTGCTGCAGACTGCCACCACCACCTCGGTACAGTCTGTGGACCTGCACAACGAACAAACACACAAACAACCTGAGGGGTTTTACAGGTAATTTATGCCTGAAAATACACAGCAAAATAAATCATGAATAGCTCCACAGTTATAAGGTTTAAATGCTAACTCTTGGTACCTCTGTAAAGATCTTAAACATAATTTTTTTTAGTGAAACCACTGTTGTAACTCTTACTGTGCCTGAGTTATTTGTGATTAAATAAAGAAAATCTGTAATTTTTTAGCCCCACCTAAAAAATTTTTAATCAACTTTGCAAAACACAATGAAAACTCTTGTGAAAACCCAGGAATGCCCTTAGATTTTATACATCTACATCTTGAGAAGAATTGTAGCAAAGTAGGACTGAATAAGTTGAAGTATATTCATTTCACAAAGGTTTTACACAGCAAAAATTCCAGTGTTAATTTTAACACCAGCAAAGTGTCTTTATGTGTCGACACTCGCCGGTGTTAAAATAACATTAGTGAAAGTGTTAAATTTTAACACCCTTTTTTTTTGTTAATTTAACACACACCAGTGTTTAATATTCAGCAAGACTTGGTGTCACATTAACATTAAAAATAGTGTTAGTGTTAAAATATAGTGTTAACAGTAACACCAGCCAGTGTTAAATATTCAACAATACAGGGTGTCATTTTAACATTTCAACAGTGTTAAAATAAAGTGTTGAAAGTACCACCAGTGTATTATTATTAACTAAGYAAATTGTGGTGTTGGAAAGGTTCAAAGACACCACAAGGTGTCAATACACTATCAAACTGAGAGTGTAAATTGAACACTCAGTTAATATCTAACTTTTTGTACTACTCAGTAGAAAAGTATAATGGAGTCACCTTCACACACCAGGACATACCTCTCACTCATGGTGTCGATTTTTGACCGATAACACAAACTTAATGTTGAACAACTTGATAAAATTGAACAAGAAAACAACCAGAACAACTCATTTTTACTCTCATGAACATCTTTAATGGTCATAAACATGCAAAAACATCATTTCTGCAAGATTTCTCAGCAAGGAATGCTGGGTAAATACTGGTCTGTTTGACATGAGGTGGAAGAGGGCGGGGCTTTTCACAATACTTCTTTCAACACTGCATGGTGTCATATAACAACACTGTTAAGTGTTATATGAGACTTAACTGTGGGCGGAGCTTATTTAACACTGTCCAGTGTTGAGACAACACTGAGGAAATCAACACTGTGAATTAACACCAACACTGGGTGTGAGTGTACTCAGAAAGTGTTAAAATAACACTAGGAGGCGTTAAATCAACACCTAAAAGTTTAACACTGAAATTTTAACACTCCTGTTTTTGCTGTGAGTGAGCAGTGTGCACGGCGGAAATGGCCTTTTGGCACAATTTAGCCAAATGTACTCAAAAACTGTACCAAATGGGTTTTTTATTTTATAACAGATAATCTGTTTTAATAAAAGTGTTGATTTCTATTGTAGGACTCATTCTGCAGATGAAATAACCTTTTCTTTTTACATTTACACCATGCATCATCAAAATCTACTATCAAACTCTTCACACACCTACAGAAACGTAACTCCGCCTCCACGTTTTACGCATGAGGGCTGTTATTTGAACTCTCGGTTACGCACAAACTTCACGTCACCAAACAAAGAGTAACACAGTGTCAAGATATATACCTGAATTCCTGAGAGTTTCATCTTTTCAAAGATACCAAAGGGAGGGGTATGGAACCAAAACTTGCACAGTAAAAGATGCGGAGAACTTCCTGKTACTGAAACGGTCTGTGACGGTTCAAGTAACTTACAAATGTTTAATATAGCTCTAAAATCATAAAAAATTATCCAAAAATAATTTGGCGACTCATTTTAAAAACATTATATAGACACCTTTTGTGACAGACTTAGAAAAAATTTGGGAAAAATAAGTTTTACACCTACTTTAGCAAACAATGCGATGACGCCATCTACGGGCTGTGTACAGGACCCGTAGGGTAGAACAGAAAACAAGMATTCCATAAGAGTGCATTTCATTCACCAACTTTTATGCCAGACTTTATATTAGGTAGGTGTTGTAAATGGACTGTACTTATATAAACCCTTTCTATCCAACAGGACACTCAAAGCTCTTTACACTACAATCTGTGTCCTCATTAACCCATTCACACACACATTCATTCAGCACTCTACTAGATCTCTCTACAAATATAATACAAGTAAATAAATCAATCTATGGAGACTAATCAGTACCTCTTTACAATAAGGCTCCCCTTACATGGTTTGTAAATAGTTTATAGAWAGGTTTTTATTTAATCTGTAAACACTTTATAAATCATTAATAAGTGTTTATTATTCATTAATTAAGGATGGGAAAGAGACAAAAATGTCTGGTTTCTTGCCAAATAGTGAGCCAAATGTGTTTATGTATATATTACATGTAAAGGTGCTTTATTAAACATTTTACACTAGTTTACTACCTTGTAAGCACAATAATTTATTGAAAACACATATTTTAACATATAATATTGTACTGTTTTACCACATTATACATATCCACAGTAATAAAAGGGAGCCTTATTGTAAAGTGTAAAACAGTATACTATTTATTAATGACTAATAATGTCATAACAGAGCCTTATAGTCTCCTGTTTTACACTTTACAATAAGGCTCTTTATGGCATTTATACAAGTTTATTAGTCATTAATAAATAGTGTACCTACTGTCTTACATTTTACAATAAGACTCCCTTTGATATTTAATATGTATAATTCAGTAATATAGTACAAAATTATTTTTAAAATGTGTTTCCAATACATAATTGTGCTTACAAACCTAGTAATATGTACACAAAACAGATTTGGCTCACTATTTGGCAAGAAACAGGACAGTTTTGTCTCTTTCTCGTTCTTAATTAATCCATAATAAACATTTATTAATGATTTATAAAGTGTTTACAGATGAATCAATAACCTATCTATAAACTATTTATAAGCCATCTATAAGGGGAGCCTTACTGTAAAGTGGTAAGGACTAATCAGTGCTTTAAATCACACTCGTACACTGATGGGACTAAACCAGTTGAGGTGGCTCAGGCAGTAATCTCCACTGCCACCAGTGACAGTGGAGGTCGTCTCATCTGATGAGCAACCTGGACGCTCGGGTGAAGAGGGGCAGAGCTGACAACTGACCTCTACCTGGTGGTTTAGTTGGCTCCGTTGGTTGGGGAGGATGCCAGTCAGACCTGGCAGGCCCAAACCAGTGGTGTAGTCTACATTTTTGTAGTGGTTATACTGTGTTTGGAGACAAAAACCCGTCCAGAGGACCTACTTAATTTTTTCTTTTTGATTTTTCTACCTGGATTACTGAGATGCATCCRGACATTTAGAGACAAAAAATARWATGTAGTGCAATTGTCAATTTATTTTGATGTTTAAGCATTTTTAACATTGCAAAATTTATGTGATACATTTGAATAACTGCACAACAAACCTTGTACAACAGTTGGCTTTGTATTAAAA